TTCTGAAGTAGATTGAGATAATGATATGTTATATAATAGTTTTTGAGATTTATACCCCTCAAATTGAAGGTACTTTTTAAATTTGCCCTCCATATTATTGAATTTCTAAATTTGCCCCTTCAATTGTTTTGTACGCTCAAATTACCCCTCACCTTAATTAATGTTAAATTTTGAAGGGTTTTTTGCTTCGGTTAAATTACATCGACCTCCCTATTTTTAACTTTTAAGGAAAAATCAACTCAAATCCCTTATGAATTATCTAAGATCCAGCCCCGTATATGTTCTTATATCGTTCGCATCTTCACCTTTCTCCACCAAAAGAAGAGATGCCGACCCCAATCACAAATTACCCACGAGCAAGATACTTTCCATCTTATAATTTAAGCCCCTCCAAATACATTGCGAATTACAACACCTTGTTGAAATCTATAAAACAAGGATGGAGTGGGAGATAACGAAGCTCTACCCTGAAGTCAAAGGATGAAATGTTATTTCACATGCAGAATTCTAACTAGAGAAAGTGTATACAGAAAAGAAATTATCCAATCCAATAATGAAAAATAACAATTATGAATTTGTAAACCAAAATTGGCTTGTCTAGATATTACTAATGGCTAACTGGCTTTGTGATCACATATACTTTTCATCTATATTGGCTAAAAATCGTAATGTCTATTCATTATTCAAGATAAAGGAGATTATATAGTTTGTGAATTTTTGTAGCAAAGTTATAAATTATAAAAAAAATTAACTAGGTAATAAATTATTATTTCCATTCTATATTGACTATCAAGAAAACCCACAATTAAAACTGGGAGGCTCGCATAGTTTCTTAAAGTTTATTACATGATGTTGTTTTGCAAAACTTTCTTTTATGACCAAATATATATAGTCCTTCGATTAATGTTTCTGATCTTACTGTCTTTTATCCTACTTTAGCTGGTTCACTGTTATGGAGGGAGATGTGAAGGAGGAAAGCTGTAGAGTTATATATGTGGCTTATGTTTTGTATTCCTGTCTTTTTAGTCTCTTTAAATATTTGTTATTTGACCATTACTTTTTCTTAATTTTGGCAAAGACTTCTTTTCCACAAGGAATTCCAATAAGCAAAGATTGGAGTCAGCTTGGTGTCTTAAATGAAGTTCGAAATCAGAAGTATTGTAGTGAGTCATTATTTGCTTCTAAAAAACTTAATAAGTTTTATAAACAAGCATAATTCACCCGTGCTTGTTGCGGTATTAGCGTGAACAAAATTAAAAAAATAATGGTTTAATTATTTAGTTTGGAATTTCTTAATTTATGGATAAAATTATTTTTTCTCAGTTGTACTGCTAACAAACTAATAAGAAAGAATATAAAAGTTGAGGGGCTTTTTGAAGTGGTTAGGCTTGGAACCAAGTGTAAACCATTACATGAATTAGCAATTGAACGCAATAGCAAAAAGTTCAAGTCTAAAAGTCCTGGTAAACACTTTAACCATTGTATTCACTTCGGACTACACTCCCAGAATTAAGCAATACAAATAAAACCTTCATATTTCGGTTTGTGTTTGAGATCTTTAAGTGAGGGCAAGAACAACACTTCAGGTCATAGATATTTATATCGATTTTAGTCCAAAACCAAATAAACCAAACCGAATTAACCAAAGGTATTTAGGTCAGATCAAATCACTTCGAATCAGTTCACTTTCGGTTTGTCAAATTTTGATAAAAACCGAGCTGATTCACCATTTGCTCACCCCTGACTGACTCCGAAATTTAAGTGAGAGAGAGAACCTGATGTTATATAGAGGAGATAACCTCGGAAATGGAAAAACTATCAGGAAAAGTCACTAGTATAAGGTTATCATTTGAACTCCACCATTCTGGACTTCAAATTCCATCCACATTAATTAATTTGATTTTAAGTGCATTGCCCAAAAGAATGCCAAAACATGAGATTTAGATCTGGGCCAAGCTGGATTTAAATCCAGGACCCAAAGACATGTTCCCAAAAAGAACCTAAATGTTATTGAATCGGGTTCAAAGTTCGAACCGCTCAAACATATCAAATATCTGATCTGTTTTGCTAACATTCTTAGCCTTATGATAAAAACAAAACAAATAATTGACAGATTCAATATCAGGAACACATTATGTTGCATGGAAAATCCAACGAATTTAATAATTAGAAAAACAAGTTACACATATATCCAGAGAGCAAAAATAATTGACACAGTCACCTAAGGACCTTGTTTGCTAAATCACTCATATTTTTGGCAAGCGGAGATTAGTTAATAATCAAAGATGCACAAGTGAATATTGTCTATCAAATAAGGAGGAGATCCTACTTTGTTAAGTAACACACTAGTTAAACGTGAATCACTAAGTAGAATTAAAGCTTTCTTCACCTTATGATAAGAACTCAACAAATAATTGACAGATGCAATATCAGGGACTCATTACACTACATGGAAAACCCAATGAAATTAATAATTAAAAAATGAATTGCATATAGATCTAGAGAGCAAAAACAATTGAAACAGTCACGTGAGGACCTCGTTTGCTAAATCACTCATATTTTTGGCAAGCGGAGATTAGTTAATAATCAAGGATGTACCAAAGTGAATATTGTCTACCAAATAAAGAGGAGATCCTGCTTTGTTAAGTAACACTAGTTAAAGGTGAATCACTACGTAGAATTAAGGCTTTCTTAGCCAAGTTGTTCTCTTCACGCAACAATGAAATTAGAATATCTAACAAATGAGTAAAGAAATTAACATAGCTTGTCTAAACTAGAAAGCTAGCCTGTTTTATGGTTCCAACCTTAGATGCAATTCTCAATGATAATTCATCCACACGCTCAATTTGATTTTATAAGATAAATGGCTCTACATACCTAATTTTCCCTACGTATTCAAAAGGCAAAAACATGCCTAATTTTGATCGAAACTATAGAAAGTGATAAGGAACGAAAGGCTCCTTCTGCAATTTTGGTGTGGCTGATGCATATTGGTATTGGTCGAGTTTTTAAATCTAGGTATTGAGTAGACTCTAATCACGCTAATATCACACTGAATGATACAAGGAATGTTCCCTTAATGCTGCCACGCCAAGCGAAGGGAGAACATGCGGAGGAAGTGATGGTGAAAATATAACTATTAGATAGGAGCTGATATGGGCATCAGAAATAGAAACGTATAGGGATAATTTGCTATTATTTGTAAATTTGAGAAATGCACGAGCTTTTATAGAATAAGCATAGGTGTGAAGAAGGGAAGAACTAAGTACAACAATAGTGATCTGCCCTAATGGAAACTTTCTGATTTACCAGGAATCTAATTTTCTTCATGACCCCCCTCATGCGCAACAACCTAAATAAAAACTGCCCAAATCTCCGCCGTACGCCAATCATGCTTGCCATGCATTTGTGATCCAGTTCATATTCAAATTGACTGTCTTGACCAGGAATTAATGTGCATCACTTTTATAACTAGCTACAAATGTCTTCCAAGTCACAACTAATCCGCTAAATCACTCATTATGGTGCATGGAAAATCCAACGAATTTAAAAATTAAAAAACAAGTTACACACATATCCAGAGAGCAAAAATAATTGACATAGTCACATGAGGACCTTGATCGCTAAATCACTGATATTTTTGGCAGCTTCCTGATTTACCAGGAATCTAATTTTCTTCATGACCCTACTCATGCACAACAACCTAAATAAAAACTACCCAAATCTCCGCCGTATGTCAACCTAAATAAAAACCACCAGGAACGGGCATCACTTTTATAACTAGCTACAAATGTCTTCCAAGTCACAACTAATCCGCTAGCTTTGCACGAAAAACTCTCGCAAGGGAAAAGACAAAGCATAATCTTGTACAAAGGGATGGGTTTAATTATACCTCTGTGGACGCTGGTGCATTAATAATAGCCGGTTTGTTTTTCTTCCTAAAGATATGAACCTCGTCTTTCTGCTTTCCGCAACGAGCCTTCACCAAGGAGCCCTCGCGTTACACTTGATGACTTCCTTGAGCCGGAGTTCATTGCCACCCTGTGATAATAGAAATAAGTTTTAACAATTATTTTATGTTCTTTAGCGGAGGAGGAGGAAGAAGAAGAAGAAGAAGAAGAAGCAGGACCTCTTTCTTTCTCTTCTCGTTTTGGTCCTCCATGGCGAAGTCGGCGATTTCACGAATATCCTCAGCGGGCCAATCGCTGCCAACCGGTTGGATGATACCGATAGCGAAAACATTGGGTAACGGAGGAACATCAAATCCCTAGTTAGGGGGGAAAGAAATGATTGAGAAAGATGAAGAACGGTAAATTAAAATAATTAAAACACAAATAATTAATGAATTATTTTAGGGTTAGCGGCCGGGGGGCTTTACATCGCTCCGACGAACAGCTTCCGCGTACATGGCCCGCTCTTGGTCGGTCATCTCGTGGAGACCATCCCCGTAAGAATCGTCATCATCTTCCTCCGACTCCTCTGACGTCGACTCCGGCTTCTTCGCCGGAGACTCGGGCACTTCATACGTCGCCCCCGCCGTCAACATCCTCTAATTCGATCTCTCCCTCTTGCCGTTGCTTTGCTTTTATAAACAATCAATCCTCCTGCTCCTGTGTTTGGGCAGCTTTTACACATTAGCCCCCCGCAGTTGCGAAAGTTCCATAACAAACCTCTAAACGCCCAACCCTAACGCCTCGTTTGGTACGCGGGAATGAGGAGGAATGGAATGCAATTCCCACTTCCCATTCCCTTATACCAAACACACCTATATTTTAGAATAAGGAATGGTCATTCCCATTCAAGTGAGAATCAAAAACTAGTTAGGTATTTTTCAATTATATCCATATTAATAATAAAGAATGTTTGGGTGAGGCGCTATGCAAGTGGGCAATTTTAGATTGACAATTTAGGCTAGTATATCATTTTGCTATTTCGAAACTTATTATTTTAGTTGGTATTGTTTTATGGATTTTTGCTATTATGAATTGAGTGATTTTGATACTTTATCAAATAAGTTAATTTATATATCTAGAACTGTGGATTGTGGATATCATTCTTTTTTTTTTGGACCAATAAGTTAATTTATATATCTAGAACTGTGGATTGTGGATATCATTCTTTTTTTTTGGACCTATGAAAGATACGATAATCTTTTTTTTTATTTTTCTTTAATTTTTAAGACTAAGAAATATCGAGTATTGTTTAAAAAATATAAACGAAACATACACCTGATGGATAACACGAGCATTAGTATAGCACATACCTAGATTAATATAACATATGCGTATATAAAATTATTTAGTTATTATCATTAATGTTTATTTTTTATCTTATTAAAAATCTATGTTGTTGTAAGGGCATTATTAGAAAATGAGATTTCATTCTCACTTGTGTACTAGTGATAGCTGACCTGATTTCAAATTTTGATTCCCACCGACAACGTTGGATAATGTGTAAAGCTGACCTGATTTCAAATTTTGATTCCCACCGACAACGTTGGATAATGTGTAAAGCTGACCTGATTTCAAATTTTGATTCCCACCGACAACGTTGGATAATGTGTAAAGCTGACCTGATTTCAAATTTTGATTCCCACCGACAACGTTGGATAATGTGTAAAGCTGACCTGATTTCAAATTTTGATTCCCACCGACAACGTTGGATAATGTGTAAAGCTGACCTGATTTCAAATTTTGATTCCCACCGACAACGTTGGATAATGTGTAAAGCTGACCTGATTTCAAATTTTGATTCCCACCGACAACGTTGGATAATGTGTAAAGCTGACCTGATTTCAAATTTTGATTCCCACCGACAACGTTGGATAATGTGTAAAGCTGACCTGATTTCAAATTTTGATTCCCACCGACAACGTTGGATAATGTGTAAAGCTGACCTGATTTCAAATTTTGATTCCCACCGACAACGTTGGATAATGTGTAAAGCTGACCTGATTTCAAATTTTGATTCCCACCGACAACGTTGGATAATGTGTAAAGCTGACCTGATTTCAAATTTTGATTCCCACCGACAACGTTGGATAATGTGTAAAGCTGACCTGATTTCAAATTTTGATTCCCACCGACAACGTTGGATAATGTGTAAAGCTGACCTGATTTCAAATTTTGATTCCCACCGACAACGTTGGATAATGTGTAAAGCTGACCTGATTTCAAATTTTGATTCCCACCGACAACGTTGGATAATGTGTAAAGCTGACCTGATTTCAAATTTTGATTCCCACCGACAACGTTGGATAATGTGTAAAGCTGACCTGATTTCAAATTTTGATTCCCACCGACAACGTTGGATAATGTGTAAAGCTGACCTGATTTCAAATTTTGATTCCCACCGACAACGTTGGATAATGTGTAAAGCTGACCTGATTTCAAATTTTGATTCCCACCGACAACGTTGGATAATGTGTAAAGCTGACCTGATTTCAAATTTTGATTCCCACCGACAACGTTGGATAATGTGTAAAGCTGACCTGATTTCAAATTTTGATTCCCACCGACAACGTTGGATAATGTGTAAAGCTGACCTGATTTCAAATTTTGATTCCCACCGACAACGTTGGATAATGTGTAAAGCTGACCTGATTTCAAATTTTGATTCCCACCGACAACGTTGGATAATGTGTAAAGCTGACCTGATTTCAAATTTTGATTCCCACCGACAACGTTGGATAATGTGTAAAGCTGACCTGATTTCAAATTTTGATTCCCACCGACAACGTTGGATAATGTGTAAAGCTGACCTGATTTCAAATTTTGATTCCCACCGACAACGTTGGATAATGTGTAAAGCTGACCTGATTTCAAATTTTGATTCCCACCGACAACGTTGGATAATGTGTAAAGCTGACCTGATTTCAAATTTTGATTCCCACCGACAACGTTGGATAATGTGTAAAGCTGACCTGATTTCAAATTTTGATTCCCACCGACAACGTTGGATAATGTGTAAAGCTGACCTGATTTCAAATTTTGATTCCCACCGACAACGTTGGATAATGTGTAAAGCTGACCTGATTTCAAATTTTGATTCCCACCGACAACGTTGGATAATGTGTAAAGCTGACCTGATTTCAAATTTTGATTCCCACCGACAACGTTGGATAATGTGTAAAGCTGACCTGATTTCAAATTTTGATTCCCACCGACAACGTTGGATAATGTGTAAAGCTGACCTGATTTCAAATTTTGATTCCCACCGACAACGTTGGATAATGTGTAAAGCTGACCTGATTTCAAATTTTGATTCCCACCGACAACGTTGGATAATGTGTAAAGCTGACCTGATTTCAAATTTTGATTCCCACCGACAACGTTGGATAATGTGTAAAGCTGACCTGATTTCAAATTTTGATTCCCACCGACAACGTTGGATAATGTGTAAAGCTGACCTGATTTCAAATTTTGATTCCCACCGACAACGTTGGATAATGTGTAAAGCTGACCTGATTTCAAATTTTGATTCCCACCGACAACGTTGGATAATGTGTAAAGCTGACCTGATTTCAAATTTTGATTCCCACCGACAACGTTGGATAATGTGTAAAGCTGACCTGATTTCAAAATTTGATTCCCACCGACAACGTTGGATAATGTGTAAAGCTGACCTGATTTCAAAATTTGATTCCCACCGACAACGTTGGATAATGTGTAAAGCTGACCTGATTTCAAAAATTGATTCCCACCGACAACGTTGGATAATGTGTAAAGCTGATCAGTTTGTACAAAATGATTCAATTTCAAATGTTGACCACCGACAAATTCAAACCAACCGCAAATTCAAATTCAAATTCAAATTCAAATTCAAACAAAAAAAACAAATTTGGATTGGCTATAAATAACATTCACGGTTTCTACTTCAAGCCACCCAATTCGAAGTATTTCTTCAAAGTATTTCTGATCTCCAAACCAACCGCTTTTTACAAAAAAATGTCTGTTCGATTAACTGGATACACGGTTACTGAAGATGTGCTCCTTTGTCAAGTATTCTTGGATATTTCTCAAGACCCTATTATCGGTAGAAACCAGTCTCGAGATGCATTTTGGTCTCGTGTGGAGGACAAATACAATGAACTTCGAGATCAGCATTTTGAGATGCGTACGAGCCGATCAATTCGTTCTCGAATGGAAATCATAAGTAATGAAGTAAGGAAATTGAATGCGTGCTTGAGACAAGTAGAGAATCTGAATCCAAGTGGTGCTTCAGATGAAGATATTGTAAGTATTCTATTAATTATCGTCTGAATTTTATTATTATTGTTGAAATACATAACTTGATGTTCACTATAATTTGCAGTTAGTTCGAGCAAAGATGTTATTTATGCAAGAACCAAAGTACAAAAAAGGTTTCAAATTTGATCATGTCTGGAATATGGTTAAAAATTTCGAAAAATTCAAAGATGATGTCCCCACAGCAAGACAAGTTGGTCGAAGACAATCCCAAAGTGTGAACTTCGACTCGTCACAATCAGATAATCCCACTCCGGAATCTCCTATATCAACATCTCCTGGACTGTCATCATTTACTCCATCTGAACGACCTATTGGGGTAAAAAAAGCTAAATTGAAAAGGAAAAATGATGATCATGAGTCAAGTGTAGTGGACTCCATCGAGACCTCCAACAATCGACTTATAGACAGGTTAGACAAGGCGAGCTTGGACAGGCAAGTAGCGTTTGATATCGAACGAGAAAAGATAGCCATGAAAAAAGATAGAGATGAATGGAAAATTATAATGAAAGATTTGAATTCCATTGCTGATCCAAACGTGCGTGAGTACGTTCGAGCTCAACAGATTAAAATAATACAAAAAAGAAATCAACAAGAACAAGGGTCTGCTTCTAATTTTGGCAATTATTTCAATGATATTGGAGACTCTAGATCCGATCTACCAGATTATTGAGAGTTGCTTGTCCATCTCAGGAAATGTTCCATGTTTAGTTTGTATTTTATGTTTTATTTTAATGAAGTTTTATATTATGCGTGTTAGTTTTTATATGTTATGTATTTCAGATATGTAATTTATATTTGAATTATGTATTAGGATTGCTCTTTATATTTCATGGGACTTTACTTAATATCTAGATTTTAATATTATAATTAATAATAATGTCTTTTAAATTTTAGCATTATTTTTAATTTTAAAAAATAATTTATTTTGTCCAAATTATACAATTGGGGTAAAATTATAAAATTTAAATATTATTGGAGTTGTTTTATACATTTAATAAAATAATTAGGGTTAAATTGTAAATACATAAAAGTATAAGGTAAAATAAAAAAAAAGAAAAATAAAAAAATAAAAACAAACAGTAATGGGGTGATGAACAGTGCGACGCCAAATATGGCGTCGCGCTGTTCATCACCGCTAAAATGCAGCGGGATTTGGCGTCTGGTTGGAGCTCGTCATTAGCGGCATTTCCTCTTTTTGCGGCAAAATAACGCCCGATTGGAGATGGTCTAAGCGCCTATCTGAGTCATTTGGGGACCAGCTCTGCCCCTTATTAGG